TACTACTACTTTTAAATCATTTCCCAAGTATTGTTGTAACACTATATTTAGTACTTACAATAGTACTTACAAGTAAAAAATGATTACAGAGTAAGCTCGGGCAAGTTAGTAACGGTGTCATCGCTCTTTCTGGCGTTATTACATCGATAAAACATCTGCGCAGTGACCTGGTTCAAATACGTTCGGGGCGGTGTTAAAAAATGCATGACGACGTTTTTGCTCGTTCGCTAAAAAAATTGTATGTACCTATTTTTTAGAATGAATAATTTAATATGGTTTGCATGTAATAAACTGCTTGTCTGATATTCAAATTAATCTTGATGGCATTACTAAATGTTCTTTTTTCATAATTTTGGAGAGAATATTTTTGCAAATCTAGCCTAACTGAAGAATGCCTGAAGAGACTAGGCAGACGACAAAAGTAGAAACATGAAAAAGGTATTTCCAAAAAGGGTAACCAGGAATAAAAACAACAGCAAACGCATTAACGTTATTCTTCATTAAGAACTTGTTTGGGCCGAATTTGCGACAGCCACTCAAATAACAGCAGCAGTAGCAGTTGTCTCAGTAGCGCCATGTAACTATCCATCGTAGAATAAAAGTGACATTAATAGCGTCAATAACATCTATAATTACATCATTTGCTAAAGGAGCAAAAATAGTCACAATAATCGTAATATAAATATTTATCTTTCGGGCATGGTTTCATATTTGTGTCTCTTTTATCCTAATTTTGTTTGCTAATAATTTAATTTTATTTGTATGTACTAAATCCATTCAAACTATTATTTTTTTAGTATTAATTGTAGTTTTGTGAAGTTAATTGAGTAATTAATTGAATGAATTTCATCAAAATACACGATATGATATGATTACCAGATTTAATAGACCATTGAAAAGTAATAATTAAAAAAAAATTTTTTTCACATTATTTTTTTATCAAATACAACTCTTGTTTCGATATTTTGATGATAATAAACATTTTACTAATAAGATTATTACTAATAAAATACTAATACTGTTATCAGTAATAATAGTAATAATAATATCATTCTTATAATTATTATTTTATTATTATTTTATTATTACTATTTTCGCCATAATAATAATTATTAATAATAGCGACAAATGTTTAATTGCCATTGTTTTCGTTATAGTCGAAGAAGAATTTTGTCGTTCCCGAGTGGAAAGTTAGAGTATCGTAGCCAACAATTCATTCTTACTTACTGCAGTAGTTGCCTATGAAATATTTTTCATGCTTAACACTGAGCAACTGTTTGTGTTGTTGCTTCTGTGTTGCGTATTGTTGTGGATATATTGTTATTTTGATGTTGTTGTTGTTTGGTTATTTTGTTTCATATGTTAGACTGTTGTCCTTACAATTAGTCAAGCACTTTTTGTTTATATAGATAGGCCTATGGAAACCTAAAAAATCATTGATTCTCCAGACGCACTTGAATGAAACTTGAATATAGCACGCGATATAAATTAATAATTAATTAATTAATAATAATAAGTCAATTTTAATCTTATTTAATCTTTAATTCTAATATTTTTTTATTTCTATCTTGAATGTTCTTTCTCTTTAAATATCCAATTTTCTTTCATTAGTGCAACCAGCAGCGATACCTTAACCTGACAAAAAGCATTGCACTTGATCGCTGTAGAAAGCCGATGTAACAGCGACAGTAATACTTACTGACTTTCATTGTTGCCAATTTTAGAAATTTTTTCTGGAAGACCGCGTCCATTTTTGTGATAACGTTTATGATGGAGATGATGATGTTGCAAATGATAATGATGATGGCAATGATGATGATGATGATGATGATGATGATGATGATGATCAGTGCATTGATGATGATGATGGTGGTGATGATGATGAGGACGACAGAAATGCGTATAATATAATGAGACAATTGACAATGATGACGATGGTAGTATTATTGATGATAAAAATCAAAGTCATCATCACCACCACCACCACCATCATCATCGTCGTCGTCATCGTCATCACCATCTATTTTGTAATATCTGATGCAACATTATTGTCTTGTGTCTCGGAATTAAAATAAATGGAAGGGATTGATGGAGGGCATGCGATGGAAGAAGCATCGTCATTATATTCCTAACATCTATCATCATCAGCATCATCGTCATCATCATCATCATCGTCATCATCGTTATTGTTATCATCATCATTATAACTGTCGTCATCATCATCGTCATCATCACATCATCATTCCTATAAACGTCATCATTACTTTAATCGTCAGCATCACCACCACCTCCACAAACATCATCATCACCATCATCATCATCACCA